TCTCTGTCTCTCTGTCTCTCTGTCTCTCTGTCTCTCTCTCTCTCTCTCTCTCTCTCTCTCTCTCTCTCTCTCTCTCTCTCTCTGTCATATTTTTATTCGCACTATGCATCGCACATACTATACACGGCCGTGATAACACTCGCTAAAACAGCAGAAGTAAATCATTGAAAAAGAATCAGTTTATATGTCGTTTCGCAAATTTGGACATCCGCTTTTTCAGACGACGCGCTTGGCTCCTGTTACAATTATTATCATTACCATTGGCACTCCGTGAAAATCTATTGTATCATGACGCTCCGTGTGAAATATTAAACCGCAGGCGGGCCGTGAACAATCTTCCTGGTGTCAATTTCCACTGTACATACAAGTTTGAAAGTTTTGAAACCGCGAGCTTAGATTAGTTCAGTATCGTTAAACTGTTAAGATAAACGACAGATCAATGTATAATAGTACTGCTGCAAGAGATCAGAGCTACGATACTTGGGTGTTGAAAGTTTAAGAAAAAAGTATGAATCTGTAGATGCATCCGTGAGGATAAGTCGCAAACTGCAGTTTCGCATGGAGCGCCTCGCGGCAGAATCCCGTACTACTGTCAAAGTACGCACAAGATACACGACTCTGCTGATAGTTGCAGCTCTATATCAATTTAGCATATCGGTAGCCACCTACAAGTCCTACCAGTAGCTGCATAGTCCGAGTTAGAGGTATAACAGAGGGGTGGACTCTTTTATCACGGCGTACAGAATGGCGTATCACTGCCCATTTTCGGATTTCATTCCGAACCGGGTAAAAATTTTAATTGACCGAGCCCCGTACATGGGCACTGCTAATGAGATGATTCGCTGATAGGTATGCACGCGCACGCTGCCTTCAGGATGCTTTGTCGATGACCAAGACAAAGTTCGCCGTTCGTTCTACGCTGGCAAAAGGATACTCTAGGCGCGGCCGAAGTACACGGTCGATTCACATATGTAAAACGTAAGATGCGAGGAACGAGTGTACACTGGAAGCCGTAAAGAGATGATTCCTCCGTATTATATTTTTCCCGTAAATATTTAGTCTATAGTATAGGAAGATTATGTTCTCCATAATTCGCAGATTTATATATTTTTTACCGTCGTCTTTATAGCCGTGTCTGTAGCCGAACGTTTTCCTTCATTCGAATTAGCTAATCCGAAATAGGTACTCTAACCTATGTTCATAGTGTGCTCTCGAGTAAAACTTTGTGATCCGTCGAATACCAAGAAGGAACCTTGGAGGTTCTCCAGTGCGGACTATAGGTACATGGTATCTCCTAGATTGCGGGGAAGGGATAATCGTTGGACGACGAGTTGACGCGAAAAATTGTCCGCGTGCCGTTGAATAATCAGAGAGCAACAGCATGGTAGGAAGGGAAGCGTGCGGGATATACAAGCGCCTTTTCATGGCAATGAATATGCAGGAACTCTTTGCTTGGGTGATTTTCATGTGAGTTGTGAATTGCGAGCAGCCTCGGATTTCTTTATTCGTATCCACATACTCGGTTGTCACTTCCTAACCAAGTCAGAATCAAAGCAAAAAGAGAATTAGCCATGGGACATTTTGCTGCGGGTTTCTCATTTTTCCATCTGTCACTCTAAACTATTTTGCTTGAGGACCAACTATAGATTTTACTCTTACGCAACGTCAACAGCATACTCTTTTACTTATTCAATTTATTCGCCTTCATCTTCACATTTGTCGACATACGTATCTCTACGACCTGATCTGTCGAATGTTGATCATTGGGTCATGCTTCTCATTCTTTCTCTTTTCCCGCTCGTTCTCTGTAATACTAGAAAATCTTCAGATTTATGTTAATCCTTTTTGTCTTTCTTTCTCTTTGATTTCCCGAGCAGTACATCTTCGTCGTGATGGCCGTCCTCGTCCTGGAGGCTGGGGTCGGAGCTTTGGCGCGTCTCTACGAGGAACAGGTGGCGCCAGAATTGAAGATGACTCTGAATCGCACGTTTCTCAAGACATATTCTGTCAGATCGAGGGAAACGGCAGCGATCGATCAGATGCAACTAGAGGCGAGTGTTCGAAGCCTCTTTTCTCTTTCTTAATCGTAATTCCAAATTCATACGAGTTAATCAATTTTCGTTCTCGTTCGCAGTTCAAATGCTGCGGTGCTCTGAGATTCGAGGACTGGCTGGCAAGTGAATGGCACAAGGACGAGGAGGTCCTGAAGAACGGGAGTCTCGTTCCCGACAGCTGCTGCAAGACGCCGACGTTCCTCTGCGGGCAGCGTGATCATCCTTCGAACATACAGTATACCGTGAGTCTCGGCATAACTTTTTCTTCTCTCGCCCATTTTCGGGATCTACTGGTGCAGCCTTGCCACCTAGAAAACTTCTAGTTGTACAACGTCGTGAGAAATATATCTATGTATCTACATACTCCGATTGTTTTTTCCTTCCAGGGTTGTATCTACAAGTTTCTCGAGACAACGAAGGATCACCTTATCATACTTGGTGCTGTGGGTCTTGGTCTTTCCGTACTGGAAGTGTTTGGCATAGTTCTCGGTTCCTGTTTGTATATCAAACTGCGGCATGACTTCGATGACTGAGAATTACTTCCGTACGACAACAACAACGGTCAGACACCGTACAGATACGGACACAATCGAAGTTTGTAAATCACTATTGATCGCGAAGGACTCAACCCATCCTTGACGATAGAGCTGGACCAGGGGGATTTCATAGGTGATCGGATGTGCGATTGTTATGTGCGCGACGGCGATGGATAGAAGCGTTTGAAAATGTGCGGCTAAAAAATATTTTACCACTATATTCCGAGAGACAGAGAGAGAAAGAACAGAGAAATTTATTATTATATTATAGAAAGAGAGAGAGAGAGAGAGAGAGAGAACGTGGCTGCAGATCCACTATGTGGTTATCCCATAATCTTTGGGTCTCCAGAATCGAAAATAAACATAGCAATCTTTTAAAATAGTGCCTAAGTAGTATCTCCGACTTATTAAAAAAGTAATGGAGCAAATTGGTATTTTTCTTCATCAATTCATAACAATTTTGCTAATGTGTTTCTATCGAAGTCGGGAAAAAGGTACCTGGCATTTACAGTAGGGGTATGCATTGCGAATGTACATTTCACGATATGTTACTATCACTTGTTAATTGAATAATGATGAAGCAAGCACGAGAGAAAGCCTACAAACAATGTCAGATCTGAATTGAGGCGTTTTGACTCATTCCCGTGCCTCCTCTCGTGTCGCAGTCAAACGCGATTGATCATGCGACAATATCGTAGCCTATTAACTCCGTGTGTGTTCATATGCGAGAAGTACATGTAAAACGTGCCATAAGTAAGAGTTTATCCATTGAGATACGCTCCAAGGAGAATAGAGGGTGATCGCGTGTATGGGTGTTACGAGAATGCGTAAATTTATCCAAAAGATAACAGTTGCCTCTCCTATTTTTTATCATGTGTCAAATTCATTTGCGTGAATTTCACTACGGGAATGCACATTTGAAAAAAACTGTACAACAGTGCCTTGAAAATCGTGTTAAGTAAGATATATTTTTAAATGCAAACGGACGGTTCGTTTCTATATTATTATAATTATATACAGATTGTGCAATGGGATAGTGCACGTATATCATATACACATATGCACGCGTTACGTTTGCCTATAGATACATGCGTCTACAGAAAGGAAAGAAGGACAAAAAAGGGTAAATGAAAAGACATGGATAGAGAATATTGGAAAAGGTACTAAAATACATTATTTATTTGTTCCCTTAACTTTGTTTCGTAGGAAAGTACAACATTTTGTTTGTCTTTTTTTTTCTGTGTATGTATTTATTAAGTTCTTTTATCTCTGTCAAAATGATGTGAATATTTTAATAGTTGATTGCGTGGACGTGACTTGTTTGGCTATATCGTGCGGATATCGTGTGCCTATATGCATATGGGCGTATCATCGAGATGACCAAGTAAATAATGTATCTCAGCATTTGTTCGTCATGTATTATTATTATTATTATTGTTATTGTTATCGTTCATGAAATTATTAATATAATCATATTCTGAAGCATGTACGTACCGTTAGTGTTTGGGTAAACTTTATAAATGTTGTACATATCAAATGCTATTCTGTTATAAATAAACTTGCGAATTATTGTACATTTGTGCTTTCAATTGATCGAACGAACGGCACAATTCACGGACAATCTACTATGGATTAAAATTTTTTTATAATCCTGAAAATTTACGTTGTGCGCGGCGTGTTTGCAGATTTTTGCATAGTTTCCAATTGGATAAGCAGCAGATCAGCGCGACTTCCTACGCAGGTGCATATCCAAGCGATGAATGCTAGAATATCTTTAGTCATTGTGAGCGCTTGCCACGATCCAAGTTCCTCCAGAAATATTTGTCGACCGTTGTTCTACGATTTGAGAAACGAATAAACTGTTTGTTATTCTTATGTTCGTTTACTTCTGTTATTCTTACGTTCGTCAACGTGGTAATGTTGTAGCGTATCAGCGAGAATTTATCATCCACTTGAACTGTTGTTTGATGTAGACAAAGCATAGTTAGGTACATAGGAATCGCAATGACGGATCCAGAGGCGTTGAGATAGATTTCTCGTATGTGGTTTCCATGTAGATGAGCTGCGTCGCATCTAGCGAATCGAAACGTTGAATTGATTTTGTGTCGAGAATTTGTGAGATAATAATTTCTTTTGAATGTATAATACCTATCGAGTGACGAAACGAGGCACATGACGGTCAAGAACGAGAAGACATTGGTATAAATTTCCGAAACGTTGGAGTATGTTGCGATGGAATCAAAGTTGCGTTCGAAGTATGTTTGCATCTGTTGGAAATTACATGTGGGAAAGTAGGATATTGTTGAGATACAGAGAAAAAAAGGTAAGAATACTTATTGTGTTAGATGCAAGCAATACATACCAAAATGAAATGCATGAGCCCGAGCCCGCCTAAAAGGCCCTGATATATGAGGGATGTGCATTTCCAAAATTTCTGTGTTTTAACGGAGATATCAATTGGGTTAGAAGAATGTTTGCGCTCTGCATCTACGTAAGGACTTTCGAAAGTGTTACGTCTCAATATTTTGACAGCGCTGAAGTCTGCATCGCCCCTTTGAATATAGATCGTGTCCGTTGTAAGATCACGAAGGGGTGCAGAGTCCTCAGAAGGGGATGGCATTTCCTTGGTTTCATCAAGAATATCTGCTATCGGAAGTTTGGTCGCACTGTGGTTCGCTAAATCCGTGATGAAACACGTGGCAAAATACTTGGAGTGTAAAGTGTAAAGAGGCGACATTGTAGATATTTAATGGGAAGCTTACTTTTCGTTTTTCTTGATTTTTTGGTGACCTTACTGGCACGAGTAGCAGAACTGCCTTTTAAATTATTAATTTTGCGCACAGAGGTACTGCGTCTTATTTGCTTTTGCGATTGTTTATACTGCTTATGTTGGTGTTCTTGTTTTGGATTTACACAGTCCGTTTCCTCTGAATGGACGTTTTCAGAATTGGCAACTTTTAAATTCATATTAGTTTTCGGTATGTTACTTTGACGAGCGTTTTTATCGAATGCTATAGAAGTATCGCGCTTATTTTTGTACTTTCGATGATTGTTTTTTAATGTATTCCGATCGCGTAAACGAATGGTTTTATCCATTTTGGATAGAGCGTTGATTATGTGGTACTTTCTATGAAAAGCGAATGTGTCGACACTGTGGTTTCAGAGCTTGTTGTGTAATTATGGCGCTGCAGGGTTACTATGGATACGCGGCTAGTGTATACAATGTAAAGTATGATACAAACGGAGAGCCGACTCAATTTTTGGAAAATACGTATTTTAATGGTATTACGTAGCAGAACTGTTGTTAAAACCTATCAGGAATTAAAAAACTCCTCTAGAACTATTGAAAAAGCATATTAATGAAACATTGTTCAAAAGTTGAAGTGCTACACGGGTGTGAAGTTGGCACCGCAATTTCTTAAAAATGTTCCAACAGTAGGCTTTTCAATAGTTCTCGAGGTGTTCTATAGTTTCTGACAGGTTTTAACAATTGTTTTGCTACGTAACATCGGTAAAATTGAGGTGCGAAGATGGCACCTTAGTTTCTGAAAAGTCTTTCAACAATAGACTTTTTCCTCGTTAAACAGCCTCATTCTAAGGGTTGCTCTGGGAATCAGCGATAAGTTGCGGAGAACCTCTGCCGCTACACGTTCGTGATTACGTTCAGCTCGGCTACGACGGGATCCGCATTATTGACGGAGGCGATGAGCACAAAATTCTACTTCCGGACTCGCCACTGCGATTCGGCGCCATGCTTTTAGTATCGCCTAAAACCGTAGCGTTGTGCATCTCCCTACTCATCTCTGGTATGTACACAAGTACGCGTATCTAGTATAGTCATAAAAACATTGGCATAAGCGATTACCGGAAGTTGCTCTTCATTGTAATTTCCTTTTTAAAATTTAGATGACGCTGTAGTAGTTAACTGATTAACGGCTTATCGTTTGAATTTGTGTTACTGTTTATGATAGTTGGAGATTTCGTACATAAACATTTGTATATTTTAATAATATATTCTATATTTTCATGAAGGATTTTATATTTTTATAGTAATTATCATATAACTGTAATATTCTTCTTCTATATTATTATTTTTATAATTAGTTGGGTATTTTTGACAGAGAAATAACCAGGATGAATGCCAACGGGTATAGAAACGTGGAGTCTTGGCAGGACAGAAATAATAAAGGTAAATATTTGTATATTTATATAATAAAGAATGATGGAATAATATATTTCTGATACAGTACTTCAATTGGTTTTATTTTATAATCCTTATTGCAGAATATCACTTGCCTCGGCAACATAATTCTTTGTTGGAAAATTGTGAAAATGATCAAAATTTCACAAATAAGACAACAAATGAGTATGATGGTACAAGAAAAATAGATCGGAGTATTGACAATTCTGAAAATGAATCTCAAAATTTTATGTTGAGATTTACAGAGAGTTTAGACTTAGATGATAGCATGACGTACAAAAAACATTGTGATACAAGAACATTACAAAATAAGAGACAAAACGTTGCAGTTCTTAGTGATTCCAATACCAGTAGTACTTACAGTGGAAGTAAAAAAAAATATAATCTTCATTTAAATAGGAAAAATGTTTCCAATAAACAAGAAACTGATAAAGTATATGTCATAGAATCTTCAGACAGTGAGGCTGATCTAAGAGATGAGAGCTCCTTTTCATACAGCAAATATACATTGTCCGAGAAGGATGTGTTCACACCTAATGGCTGTTCTAATAAACAAACTGCATTTGAGATTAATACAGTTCACAAGGATGAAAATCATAGCAAAAACAAAGTTAATCCTAGAAATATTGAATCGTCTCAATATCACAGAATGCTCAACAAAAAGAGTATTGTGCAAAATAATCAGCGTAGTTTGGCAACACCTATGACTAAGTTATCGAAGCATGATACTCGGAATATTCTTAAAGTTATACAGTCTACAAAAGCTGTATACTTCTCTCCAAATCAAGTGAACAGCAAGAGCAGAAATAGGAGAATCAGTGATGATATTAATGCTCCATCAACAATGGATGAGGATGTTATTGTTCCATCAACGTGTTCCATTAATTTAAACAAAAAAATTGAAGAGAATATAATCATTATCGATGAAACTGCTTCAGAATTGGATAGCGAGGATGAAATCAGAAGTTCAGACGCTCATGTATTAAAACCACCAAAAACTCATGTCAGCCGATTCTTACAGACTCCAAAAAAGAAGAATGAATCACCATCTCTCTCTGAGCATAAGAAAAAGGAAATTTCTTTATGGCTTATGACTAATTCTCCTGGTTCCAGAAGTGACAGCTCTTCCAGTAATGTTTCCGATAGTAACAGAAACAGTGTGAGTTCAGGAAATAGTAGTTTAGAGAGATTTGAAATGAAGCACGAGACACCAAACAATAGAGGAAAGTTATCAAAAATAAATAACTCAAGAAAGCTACCTGCTCTAGAATTTACAAAAGAAAACAATCCTTTAATAAAAAAGTCAACTTACATACCTAACACTGTTCATCCAATAATTAATGTACTGAACAAGGTAGATAAAAATGAATCTGCAAAGGAAGTAGTCTCAAAAAAAACTGAAAATCCTACATCAGTTAAAAATATGGACATTATGGATTGTGCAGACATACTTGATAAATTGTATGGACACGTTTGGAGATCTGAAGCCAATGAATTGCTCCCAATGTCCGAACCCAGAAATCAAACGATTACAAAGAAAGATAGAGCGGTTCAAACAGAAAGGTAAGAATTCTAAACTTCTTATGCAATAATGGAATAACATTACAATTGCTGCTCTTACATGTAATAATAGAAGAGTAAATGTGCGAAAGAAAATCTTATCAAGAAGAATTAGCTACAGTGACTCCGACGAAGACTCGTATGACCGTAAGGATTCGTTATAAAATATTCATTTGCAAATCACAAATTTTTATATGTATTTGTTCATCATTATCTTATTCATTTAGTCGTACAAAATATGCAACCAATATTTAATTCAACCAGTAAGTCAAAGCGGAGTGACAAGGAACGAAGAGATAGCTTCCTGGATGACGGCTCATTGAGTGAAAATAGTCCAGAAAGTGTTTATCTCACAGCACTAACAAATCCTCGAATATTTGGAAATTCAAGCAACTGTCAAAAATCTACTCCAATTTCACTTACAACACAAAGGTGAGCCTAAATCATTTAAAACAGTCGCTTGATAGTAAATACACAATGAACAATAAATAGTTTCTGTTCACCGCTATCTGTAAATTATATTTCTATAGGGCTAAAAAAATATGTGATCCGGACAGCGAGGAGGATACCACAACAATGCAAAATTTCAAAAACAAAAAAAGACTGTCATTTACCGATGACGATTCAAGCGATTCGAGTACCAGTGAATTTGATCCAGGCGATGTTGTACCTCCAAAGTCTACAAGCAAGAAAGGTCAATTTCAATAGATCATTAAATATTCTTGCACGACATTATATTCCTCTAAGACATGGTAATTTTAGGTACAAAAAAATTGCCGAACCAAGCACTAGAGAAGAAAAATAAATCGTCTACAAGAAATCTAAATGAACGAGAGAAAAGTGGAATTAAAAGTTTCCTTGCATCGCTCTCAGAAACAGTTTCATTAGCAAATTGTCATCCTGATGCAAAGAAATATCGAACAAACTTTAAGAATACAAAGGAGGAATTATGCAAGCACTTATTTAAGTTATACAATGAGAAAATATTTAATAAGAAATTACCGGAAGATATGTCCATTGAGTGGAACGTTCGTATGCGTGGAACAGCTGGATTTTGTTACAATAAAAAGTCAGTAAAAGCACTAGGAGCCGTAACGAGATCGTCACGGATTGTTCTGGCAACTAAGGTAAATAATTAAATTAACTGTAAACTTTTATCCATATAAGAATAACATAATTTTTTATTCAGATCATAGACAGACCAGATAGACTAAGAGATACTTTGGTCCATGAAATGTGTCATGCTGCTGCTTGGTTAATAAATAACGTCTCCGACGGACACGGATCTTATTGGAAAGGATGGTATAACAACTTTTCTTTTAATAAGAATACTGATTATTAGTTGTGAAATTCGCTACACCGTATTTACTTCCCTGTCATTTAGGGCTAGCAAGGCAATGCAGGTATTTCCGGATTTGCCTCCAATTCGACGCTGTCATGATTATCAGATAAAAACAAAGTTCACGTACAGATGCATGAACTGTGGCTACAGGTAAGTATATTATTTAAGAAGTAAGAATAGAAAAGTTTCTATATTACAATTGAAACATATTTTAGCATTGGAAGACATTCGAAGTCCTTAGACGTGGAAAAGAAACGTTGTGGCCATTGTTACGGCAAGTTTGAACTTCTGACGAATAAAGTTACGAAATCCGGAACTGTTCAAGTAGCAACACCAGCCCATACCAAAACACCCTCCGGGTTTGCACTTTACGTCAAGCAGAATTATAACTTGATAAAATCAAAGCGTCGCAGCCTTAAACATGGTGATGTTATGAAAATACTAAGTTCACAATTTGCAAACTTAAAAATCGCCAAGAAGACCGAGGAAGTCGTAGAACTGTCACCATAGATCATCGCCATATAGTTATTACAATATTTAGTATGACAAGCTAGAGAAAGCTTATCCGACATTGGGATTAATATCCTCGCGTAGATTTATAGGAAGATTTATTTGTGAATACACAAACTTTATATAACAATTGACAAACAGCATGAGCAATGCTGCACCCGCATTGTATTGGGGAACTACTTATATTTTTATTATATCTACACTATAGTGTAGTTGAAATAAATTTTGGCAGTCATTTGGCTGCATTACCTAAAGAATGGAATTTGAGTTAAAAAATTGTAAAATTGACTAGTCAACAAATGCTTCAAACGATGTATTAGTAAGCATAGCATCTGTCACAATCGTAACCAACAATTTATGACGCATTCTTGAAAAAAGCCAATAAAGAAGTTTAAAATCGTCATAATCCTCAAGATAATGTTTTCAAATACGAAAATAAGTAAATCAACGAATTCAGCTAAATCCCAACTGGTGAAACAGAGCAGGCGAAAAGAGCCGATAAAGAGGATGTTGACATTACCAATCGTCCTCCATAGAGGCATCCTTCCTTCCTTTCCTTATGGCTGACTCCTCCAATGAGGAGATGTGCCAGACCATAGAGGCATAAGAATCATAGAAGCATAGAATACAAATAGAATAGACGTGGTAACGGCATACGATAATTTGTACTATAATGTCAGTGCGGCGTGGTGGCGATGGCTCTGAGGGCTTTGAGAAAGGTGGTGGTGGAGGTGGCGGCTGTAGCATCAGCAGCGCACTCTAAAAACAGTCGAGCCGAAGATGGCGACGTGCGAGTGGTGGTGTCGGTGTAGTGTTTAAAAACCATGTTGTCGCCGAGGCAAGAATCTTTCCGAGATCTACGTTATTCCGTGCAAATGTAGAATGTCAGAACCAAAACGGGTTCCACTGCAGACCCTTGAGTTCCCGGAGTCTCTGGGCCACGCCACGAAGAAGGAGAAGAAGGGAGAAAAGGGCAAACAGCTCGCGCCCTCCTTCCGTTTTACGCTCGCCCTGCCAGAGTCAAACGAGAAGGCATGTCCGGAGTTCAACTACGCTCAGCTACTCAAGGCTGCCGAGGTAAGTTTCAGAAAAATTGATACCGCGTATCAATGATTCAAAAAGTATTTATCAGTCCCACTAATCTTCCACCTTTCTATTCCATTTACTCCTCCTCTGCCACTTCCACCACCTCCTCCATCTCCTTCTCGTACTTGCAATATGCCTCGCACTCAGATTTCGCGAGCTATTGCCTTAGAGATACGCGACACGCCAAACCTACAAATTCACCAGCGACTAGTAAGACGTGCAAGACAGAAACTCTCTCTTCTTTCATTCTACAGTTCGTTCCCTCAATTGTTCGCAAGAAAATATAAATAAAGCACGGTATATGATTCGTTGGCCTTCTCATCTATAATAAATTTGTACGCCTTTCGAATCGAACAATTTAAGTCGCAGGACTTGTCACGTCGTCGTGGCAGCTTCAAGACTTTTGATATGGCACTGTGTATGATTAATGCCTGTCTTTTTCTTTCTGGTTCCAATCACTCATTCTTGTTTTTGCATCGCTTGATGCTCTTTGACAAAAAAAAAACTAATCGATCGAACCGTCTTGTACTATTTTTTTTTTACTTAATCTTGAGATACGTTCAGGTTGTGGTCTGTATGTCGCTGTCGCTAGTGTATTAACATAGAAACGACGCCACCGGTTTGTTAATACATAAATTCTTGTTAATTTTCTCGTTTATATCCCATGAAGGCTTCCTTCCAACTGACTGCCATAATGAGCACTGTTGAGATCACGCGTACTCTCTCTCTCTCTCTCTCTCTCTCTCTTTTTCTTTTGCTCTTTCCTTGTCTCTCAGCCATCCTACTACCGTTTGTTATTACAAAACTATATGCAATGTAGATACATTTGGTCATATATAAAACTTTCCGTGCTAGATACTTAATCCTCCAGTATCCAGTAGTAAGTGTGACTACGCATCAAGCACTTTCGTACAGAGGCATTAATTTCAGTAGAAACATGGAGTCATGGATACTGGATACCGGTTTGTCCCGCGCAAACCTTGCCAAACGACACCTTGAATCTTTTCATGATTATTCGGATTAACCATATTCCTATAAATATCCCTCTAGTAGTTAGTTACAGATTTCTTATCTCCTATATCACGAACATTAAGCCTATGCTTGTCGTTCGACATATGTTAGAAACGTCTATAAACAATTAAATGGTTTTTCAAAACAGAAGATATCGCCTGTTTACATCCGACACTCGGCTAGGAACAAGTTGGGGAAAATCAAAGCGTCCCTGTAATTTCTCTTTCATCCTTCATACCTTGACGAACAATTCTTCCCTTCATTCAAAGCATCGGTAGACACACAGCAGACGTTCTTCGTCTTGGGTTCAGATTCGTGTGCCCAGGTCGACCTGTGAATGATTGCAGAATTGGCAAACGAGTGGAATATCTGTTTCCAAGACTGTGAAAAAGTAGTATCGCTGTGGACCATTGCATTAATATTTATAATTCGTCCATTTCCTTTTTTATCAATATATCGTCTTAATATTTCATCCATATCGATAGGTCCTCCCGAGTAGACTTTGGTCGTCAAAAGTTTGCCAAGTTTAAATTGGCACAAGTCATACTCGTTCTCGCATCCTGAAGGTAGTATACCAACATTGAAAATCGGTCACCGTATGGAGCGTCTCGGTATCAGGAGAGCAAGAGTGAAGCGTCGGGACGCATTTCAACGTGGAACCTTCTTGACGACTCGTGCGCTCCCGGCACGAGTGGACATTTCGCGCACCCTTCGACGGCTAATCCGACCTTCCCCTTGCACCCCTCGGACAGATCACCAATCCCACTCAGGTTACTCATAGTTGTTGCCGTCGGTTCCCCTGACCCCACGTATCAGTTGATCCTCAAACGGGATGGTAGTTGAGTTTTAGTGAGCCAGTGGTTTTCAACGTTATTCCTTATGTGAATTGAAAAAGGAATGCTCGAAAGCAAAAGGCGCGTTCCTCGTCACATTATAGATATATGACGCAGAAGAGTCGGTAGACAACGTATGCTGACACGGGAGAAGGACAGATAGACTCAGGTAGGGTTGGGCTTTTTACCACTCAAGGAGCTCTGGACGAGTGGAATAATTGAAATGGGAATAACCAAGTAGCTCGGGAGTCTCGCTAGACAAGACGACGTTCCTTATGTTGGAATTTTTAACCGCGCGGTGAAAGTACGCGGGGATGGAGTGAAGTTATGGCAAATTTTTATTATTATACTCGATCAGGTTAGGTTAGGTGGGGATAGGGTGAGCGACCGAATAAAACGTCCTAACTGGAATGGAGGCTGCCTTTCTTTTGCACTTCAGTTTCCCCACCCTCGACTGACTTTCGTTTTGACTGCGACCTTGTGAATTGTTTCTGTTGGTAATATTGGGATTTACGAAATTTGACTATTAACGTCTTACGTCCAATTGACAATTGATCAGGGAATTCAATTTGTTTTGCGACGTTACAGAAAAAACGGAGAAAGGAGCAGAAACGAGGAGACGAGAATTCCGCGAATGGTCTGGACCCATTCGACGACGATGACGACGATGATAAGCTTAGGGAAATGGCCAAGCGGTTTGAGGCCAAATACGTAAGTTTGAAGATATGTCTTACATGCTTGATCACATAATTTTTTAATTTTTTATTTATTTAAAAAAATTTTCTTGTACTTCTCACTTACCTGTTTTGTTTCTTTTTATGTTCTTTAAGGGAACTGCGACTGCTGGCAGGAAGAGGCATAATAAAATCGACGATTATGTGGATTTGGGTGCTGGTTATGATGAGAATGATTCCTTCATCGATAATACGGATGCTGTAAGTTATTAAAGATGTTTAATGCAATTTGTTAGATTATTAATACATTTTTTCATTATGAGCAGTACGATGAGATCGTGCCCGAAGAGATGACTACTGTTCTCGGGGGTTTCTACATAAATTGCGGAGCCCTCGAGTACAAGACTGCAGAGGGTCAGCCGCTTGTTCATAACAATAATAACAATAATAATAATAACATTCACGACGAGGATGAGAGCAGCGAGAGCAGTGAGGATGACGCTGAGGCAGCTGAGAGTCCTAAACGAACTGAAAAGCGCATACTCAGTTCCACCGAGGAGGATGAGACGGAGGACATAATCACTGTGGATCATCCTCGAAAGGTATTTGGTCGATCCTAGCATGTCTGACAACATTCCCTATACTGCTGGGGGTGGCTTCTTTAAGTTTATTTTGTTTACGGTCTTTATTTTCTGCTTAGAAGCAAAAGTTGGATGAGAACGTGGATAAGAAATCTAATCACGAGGGTATAGTTAAGAAAAAAAAGAAGCAAAATCTCGAGCAGTCGCAGCAGCAGCCGCAACAACAGCAGCAGCTTGATTTAGATGCTTTGAACAGGCGAAAAAACGCCATCGCACAAAATTTGTCGAAGGAGAAACCTGATGCTTCTGAGGGTGGTGGTGCAGGTAACGCTGATAATCGTGCGAACGATCGCCATTTCGCATCTCCTTATTTCTGATCATCATCATCATCATCATGATCATGATCATGTTGATCATGATCATCATTTCTCAATTCGTATTGTTAGACGATCCCGATCAGGAGAGGAAACGAGCCGAGAAGTCCGAGCTACAAAGAACCAAGTGCATCACGGATAAAAAGCCGGATATTATGAAGAAATTGGAAAAGAAGACTCTGGTTAATGGGATTGATGGGAAAAAGTTAGATCTGAAGAAGCTTGGCGGCAAGGATAGCAACATAGACGATGCAATCGAGAGTGTCGTTAATGCCGGAAGGGTCGAGGACGAATCTAGTCGAGAGACGTCGGATTCAGGAAAGTCACGTGGAATCGCTGGTACCGAGTCCGAGTGCGATGATGGCGATAAGGAAGAATCTATACTCCCTGAGAGTCTTCCAGAAGATCTCAAAGATATCGTTTATAAACTCAAGCTTCACGCGAACAATAAGGAAGGAAAAACGAAATTTTTCAATAGCACGGTCAACGCTTATTTATTTAGGTATGCAAATTTTTGTATTTGGAAAGTTTCTATCGTTCATGTACTTTGTACGCTATTATTATATGGGAATCGTTAAATCTTTTAGTCTCGAAGAGAAATTACGCTCGCAATGCTCGGCGAGCATCCGGATGCAAACTTACGATCATTTGGCGCACTTCCTGCCTTGCAGCAAAAACACCCTTGTAAATCGGGCGAAAAAACTCCTCCAACAGGAGGTTGACTGTAAAGTGAAGGACGCCATGCAGAGGTAGAAACGACTTTGTCGTTGAATTTTTTTTACTGATCATAAAGCGGATTGATTTTTCATATTTCAGGTTAAAGACTGCGATTGATAGCGTGATGCCATCTGTTGTCGAGAGACATAATAAGGACTGTCAAAGAATTGCTGAAGAGAAGTAAGTATTTTAAGAGAATATTTTGGTCTAGCTGGCGTTAGCGTCTGACCCCTTTCATATCAAAATCTCCCTGAAATTCTTGCTCTCTCCTTTTAATTGCTCGCTACTGAATTAATTATTCATGTTAGTCGCTAGTTCGTTGAATTGACAGAAAATCTATATTGGAACTCACTGAACTTCTTGTTTATGTCGTAGCCCACATTTGTACTGGGACATATATCGGTACTGTTGGTAAGGTGCCCCAAAACGAGACCCACTTTCTAAACTTACCCTCTTCCTTTTGTTTTTAATTTTTTTCCCCCTTAACATTACTCTTTTCTTCCTCTGCTCGCTCCTTATTTTAATCATTCATAAATTTTCGTTGTATTGACTCGGAGTTTTGTATCTTTCTTTACCTTTCTATACCTTTCTCTTTGTCCAAGCATTGCAAATAAGTACACTTTCATTTGGAAATTTCATGGTCTTTATCTTGACATAGTGTTATTTCTGAAATTATGGAAATTGCAACATGCAGCTTCCAATGACATTGTGTCAATACTTTTCTTTTTTACAGAAGCTAAGAGATTAATTGCTGACCATTGTTACAAATACCTTTTATAGTTTTAAATTCTAAAATTGCAGAGAAAGGTGTACTACGGGGCTATTTATCATCAGTATCAACTTTTTGTTTAACACCATTACTATTTTTTACATCAATCTACAGAGCTTGTCATTTGCCTCGATGCAACTCCATCCATTTCCGTCCAGAGCAAACAAGGGACATATAATTATAATCTTGCAGTGAATTCTGTCGTGGCAAATGCAGATTCATTATTTTTTATTCATCGGCTAGCTCAAATTTCTTGTCGGATCTTAAATTATCATTCATCACTAACAATAAGTCATTTTCCAGGGGAATCGAAGGATCACTTTCCGATGCTGAGAGTACAGATGCAGAGGAGAATCCAAACAAGAATTCAGAGAAATTAAAAATACCACGCAAACGATTTCCATGGACCGAAGAGACTAAGTAAGTCTAATTAATTCAAACTTTGCAGAGTAATACTTCTTTCTGTACAGTTGCCTTAATAAAAAATATTATTTCTCACCAGAAAACTCGTGTACGAAATTTCAAAGGCAAGACGACAATACTTTGAAGTAGTACGACCTAGAAAAGAAACCATTGAGCCCTTCGTAGCAAATTTCATGGAGTCTGAAGTGTTCCCACTGTGGCCCCCAGGTTGGGTTCGATTACAGACTCTTCTTTCATATTCAAATTCAGAACCAAAGTAAGTGTATTTTTATTTATTCTTCATCGCAATTGCTTTAACTTTTTTTTCTCTATCTCTTTCCCTCTATTACTCTCTATGCTATACACCAATTGTAAACGCATGCACATATCCAGTAGAGCACGATAAATTCTACTTGCCGCAGCTTAGTTGCGACGTCATCCGCTTTTTAATAATGGAAGTAAAATTAGGAAAAATAGTACGTAGTACGTAGCACGCCGTACTACCATCTGGACGTTGTGTGTTTTAGGGAGGTGATTGAATTGGATTAATATCGTTGTTTGCTCTCTGTCGATAGACATTACAGACGGGATCATAATTCGTAGAGAGCAATATCGCAGACCTATTTCTTTTTATATTATGTATTCCTAGAGTACGCAAAGCTCACCAATTTGATTATGAAACTTGGATCAGTTCCTTCGTACTTACGATATGTTTATTAAATAGTTGAGATACTCTTTAATTTTATCTTTTCTCTTTCTCTCGTTGCCTACCCTCACCCACTTCATCATGGTCTTACACTTGTAGCCGCTGCTCGCGCTTTATGTATTTTTCTCTTCCTTTCGTAGCCGCGCTCACCCAAATCTCTATCGCTCGCTCGCACGCTCATTCGCACATAGAAATTAGTGACGCTTTCAGTGCAACGCGACGCGTCATCAGGAGAGTAAGCACTAGCACTTTTGATTTTAGCGTTAAAAGAAAAGCGAAAAAACCAGCACCCACAGGAAGCAGCGTTGTCTCGTCATCAGCTAACGCAGGCGTTCCCAATTGTACTGGAAGGATAGATGCGCCGCCTAGTACGAATAACATGAACCCCGGACAAGAGAGAGTGATAACACCGACGAGTTTTTCCAAGACTGTAACGGCTAGTACGACGGCATCAAACAGTCTATCGGAGAATCCATTAAACTTTACAGTGGCAGCACAGTCGACGAAAACACACGATATTAACACGGAGAGGAAACAACAGCCGAGCAAGTACAAGGACAAGAATAGAGAGAGTCCGATGATGAGCAGTTCTCAGTATGAAAACTCCATTGTCACTACTACTGGAGGAACATCACTCTCTAGCCTCGCTAAGATATCCGCTGTACCTACGTCGCAACTTATGCCTCATAAAACGAATAAGTCTCATCTTGATAAGTTCAATTTGATGGATCTAACAGGTAGTTCACTTTCCATTACGCCAGTCAATGAGACTCAGATCACTCAGAAAAATAGTAAACCTAATGACTTGAGAAAAGATGTGGTTTCCATAACGGCCTACTCCGACTGTAACCTTGGTAATGCCTCTAATGCTGTTAGTATATCAGAAACTGTTCATTCTCAGAGTGGACATGTATCTGTCAGTCGGCAACAGCCACAGGACACTGTATCCTATTTAACCACTCAAATGCAACAGCAACCATCTTCCGTTTCATCGCATTCGAAGTCTTTTCCCCTGAAGCACAGGTTCCTTCAGGAGAGTATAGAAGTGGCGAAGAGCAGTGAGAAAATTCGGTCGGATGAAAAGGATTCTGAGGTTTCTAAAAGTGAGAGAAGAGAGAAAAGACGGGATAGAGATCGGGACAGGGACAGGGATCGGGGTCGGGGGGGCGACGGGAAGCACTCCGGGAAGTCACACGATGCCAAGAAACGAAAAAAGGAGCAAAGGTTGGACAGTGGAGTAAACGAGGTTCAGCAGACACTAATCCCCTCGACGAGTGCGACCACAGGGAGCGGAGATGCACTTGGATGCAGTGTTGCACAAACACAGGCACAGTCACAGAAGCAGCAACAACAACAACAACCGCATTCTCAGCCTGCAGCGTCTCTGTCGACAAAGGAACAGGAACAAAGACAAATAGACGAGACTGTAGCAGCTACGAGTTTCCTGAGTCGAATAATAAACGACGAGCCCCAGAGTTCAAGGGTGATCAGTGAACCACCGCGAAAGGAAGCACCGTCCCTTGCAGAGGAGCCTGCTGGAGGGAACGTAATACAACCTACGGAACAGGAAAACGATGTGCAGATGGTGATGCGCTCCCTTAAAGAACTCGAGGAGATGCAGAATTCACCGAATCATTCACCTGGCGGAGGAATGCAGAAACCAAGCAAGTCGAACGTCCAATACATCGGCTACCAGGAAGATTATTTGCGACTCTATCATAAAAAGGAGGATAAACTTCGAATTCCGAAAAAGGAGGAGCCTCACTGGTAAGACGAGACGAGTCAGAGATGAAGGGAGACAATACGAGAGTAAAACACAAAAGATATAAAAGTATCTTTTGATCACTTCCGTATTTTAGGATCCCAGGAACAATAAGTCTGGGATGTCAGGACATTAGATACTTAAGGAAACTGTGTCTCCCATTATCATCGAGTAACGCCTCTTTCTCTCTAGACGGAAGATTCTAGGCTCCTCTTATTTTTCCAAGCCGTAAAAGAAAAGAAAAAAAATCCCAAGTATTTTGAAATCGCCAAAATGTGTACATACGTCTACTTACCCTAATATTTGAGCGTGCGTGTACAGTAAACATAAATTATACGAATATGGTAGCTAAATAGGTTTGTAAATACTTTAGTATCGATCCATCGACATGTACAGGGTGTTTCCAGTGGAATGAAGTGTAATAACGAAATGGACTTGAGTAAAAAAAAAGTGAAGTGAAAGTTTCAAAGTGAATATTCGAAAGAGTATATACATATATGATATTTATAAATTCCTCAATTCATAGATCAGTCCACAGGATCACTCTGTACTGCCAGGACGATTGTCATGAGTGTGTGAAAATGACGTTCCTAAGTAGCGTGTTTAGAACGAGCCCTTTGTCGCTCGTTTACGAAGAACGTGATTCCGTAATGCCAACGTGGCTTCCTGGAGATTGTCGTAGGGCGGCCTAACAGCCCAAGAGGCCTCCCGGGCGAAGCACCAAAAGACAGTCAGACATGAGAGCGTGCTACTGCCAGATCTTCCTCTCTCTCTTTTTCTCTCTCTGTTTCTATGAAGAAGAGAGAGGACGATAGAATGACGGAGAGAAAGAGAATTAGAATATTTTTCGAACGCAGTGCAGACGAATAGTAGTGTAAGATATGTAGGAGGTAACCGCCGTCGTTGTCGCCACCGTCGCCATCATTATTATCATCATCATCATTAACGACATCACCACCATCATCATTCATCACAATTATCATTATCATTGTCAATAGCTCCTTTAACAGTATCACTGGTCAAAATAACTTTGAAACAGTAAGATATATGACACCTACATTTATTTATTTTTTTTTAAACTGATCAATTGAAATTATTTAAATCTCGAACTCTCCATATTGTACCGTGATGCTGTTAAAGGCTGTTAGGACTGTTTGGGCGAGACCTTTAGCCGTGATTCCAATACCCATGCTCCAAGACTTTCGATTTTATGAAATTTCATTTCTTTTTCATAACAAATTAAAACTTTGCGATAGTTCGTTACGGCTACGATTAAGCGTCTTGTACAATTCTGTATCGAGAGTGTTTTAACTAAGACGACTTAAAATATAAGTTTTGAATATTTTTTACTACATATATTACGCTATCTGGCATGATCCTCATCCCAATGATGGAACCTGGTAACTGGATTGTTATGAGACGTGCATTGAAAATGGCAATTCATTCGGCCACTCTTTTGAGTACCCGGGCAGAAAAAAGGTATAACCGAAGCCATTGGCAACGCTCTTACGAAACGAATACGCGAATATCTATTTGAGCGGATACGTGGATTTGTAGACCTTCGATATTCCGATTAGAACCAAAAACCGTTGATCGGTTTAGGTGTCGTTCACGGCATATTCGTGACTTCTTCGAATTACCAGGGTTCGTTCACCGGAGTAGAGAAGGTCGACTACTTGACACGGCACGTTGCCATCTCGATGTTATATATTATTTTCTTCATCATTTTATATCACTTAAGTAATTTAATTTTTTACTTTAATTTCATGGATTGTCAATACCGTTACCCGGTGCGAAGACTTTGGAGACACGAAGAGGATGTACCAACAGATCCTTAAAATTCTTTTTCAATTCTAGAAGTATTGATCATTTACTTGAACGAGACTTGAAATAGAAATAAGAATGGAATTGCTTTCATCACGGCGTCACTCCGGAGGATCAGGCTTCCAGGTATACCTGACGTAGAGGAAGTTGAGCAAGCTTAGCCGAGCCAGTACCGCCACGATTAGGTTCATTGTCGGATGATTCTTCACGGCCGATTAGGCGAGCTCCGCTGGTTCCGACGTCGTTTTACGCCTATTTACGTTGGTTTTATCTTTTCCTCCCTCTTCGCCCCGCGCGTTCCTACCCTATCTGGTACTTCGAATTCCGATACCAGTCTTGGGAGACATATCCGTTATGGTTGAACGAGCCCCGAAGGTCCCTGACGGCGATTGGCCGTCTTTCCAGGGTTCCTTCCATTTACTCACAGGATGCGTTTCGTTCTGTCGCCATTGCAAGGACAACAAAGTCTTATAAGAGGTTTAAGACGTCCTGGGCGGTAGGACAGTTTTCCTTGAGTAGCTCAAGGAACGACAACGTCCACTTGACTCTTTGTGAACTGCATCAGGGTTCTAAGCCTATCGTGATATCGTGGACCAAGGTGGTTGGTGGTAGACGGCGTCGAAGATTTAAGTGTTGAGAATTCCGTTTGAAGTTCTCGCGAAAAGTCGGACGTCGTCTCCAGGGAAGATGCTGGTACTCCAGAGGATGATCTTGCTGGTGCTCCTAGTGGCACGGTATTCATCATGTTCGTTCGTGCCACCAAGCCTGGGTGGAGTAGCTTCCTCGGAGTCAGGACTCTCACTCTCGGACATTACCCAGAGGAAGAGCGGGGCGGAGTACGTGGCTCTGGGAAACGGAAGAACCGGAAGCGAGGGTGCACATGGATATGACAAGGGCGAGGAAGCAGCTCATGGAGTGAAGCAAAACGATGCACGGTACGACGAGCGAGATAACAGTCAGCGAGGATATGACGTGGGAAAGCAGAGTCTGGGACAGGCTCAATCCTTTGATCAGGGTAACAATCAGTTCGAGCAGCATGGTGCTGGACAGTATAAGAAAGGATTTCACAAGAGCGGATTCAGGAATAACTATCACAAGGACGAGTCAGGGGACAAGGCGAGCTTCTATGAGGATAGTGACGACGAGAAGGGTCATCGTGGGTTTGACAATAGAGGCGGACACTATGGGCGAAGAGCTCAGGATGGCTTTAGGGACGGACGGTTCGACAATGCATTTACTGGGAGGAACAGAGCTCAGCAAGGACTCTACGACAATGGCGCTGGGTAACTTGGAATATATATTCTTATTATTTTTACAATTTAGAAAGGATCGTTGGGACAAACTTGGAAAGTGGATTCTAAGTCTTGGATTTTCTTTTTAGGTACAATAATCGACGGGGTCATAATGGTGGCTATGATGACAATAGATACTACGACGATAGGAGGAACTACCTGCATGATGGCGCTGGCCGCGTTTATGACAGGAATGGAAATGAGGCGTATTATCGGCGGGATGAACGACCGTATCATCACCCACTGAATTATGGATCTGCTCCTCTTGTCTCTGGACCCCTTTACTCTCGAGATTATCTCGACGCACCGCCAGCAAGGTACTATGCGTCCTACTATCGTCAGGAACCTCCTCCATTACTTCCAGACGATGCGTTCCATGCACCCGGCTACGAATATCGGTAAATTCTTTAATAGAAATGCAGCAGCACTGTATCACTTACGTCACCTCTTAACATGAAAGTAATGTTTTCCATGAGGTAGTAAGGACGCTCGGTTCTTCTGAAAAATTCGATATTCAGATTTTAAATAAGATATTCGTGTGGAATCGTCCACAGAAATGCCTCGTCCTGGGGAGGGGATTGCTGATTAACGAAGGGAATAAAGTCGAACGGAAGTTCGGCGTTTAGCAATTGCGTGACGAATTTCATGACAATGAGAGCATGCTTCGATTTTCACTTTCGACAGATATTTTCCTGAGAGGCGAGATTACCACAGGGCTGAAATCTATTATCCTGATAAGGGTGGCTATGGTCATGGTGATTATTATGCTGTTGGATACAAGAGACCTTATGGACGAGCCTTGGACATCCATCCAGGATATAGAAGACCTTATTAAATTGTCTTACCCCATTGGCAAGATCAGTCTATTTCACAATCAAACATTGGTGATTCAATTAAACCGAAAAACTGTTATCTCTTCTCTTTCTTCCATTTAGATGCTCGTAGAAATTCCTGACGAGTAACCATGCTTCCGGTCTCCTTTAGATTTAATTATATGTTTAAATATACCAGGAGATCCAGCATCGCCATAAATATCGGGTACACAAGAGTCTCTGTAATAAAATTTAATTATTCACTACTGCAGTGATCTCCAAGTAGCTGTTCTGTCTAAATTATTTCTAACGGGGATTATTTGGCTGTATGGTCAACGTGCTGTCGTAGAGAATAAGATGAACCATTGTCAGGTAGACATTTAATCCATTAAGACACGTTCGACTTATCCAATTGTATTCAGGGTCGGTTCGATGATTCTCCATTTGGAGTATTAAAGTTTTCTATGTTGTACAACAGTTCAATGGTAATTTCGAACAATTCATTTTCAATGTCAATAAGGAAGGCATTGCTTGAGGACCTAAACTTTGAGATAAACTCAACAGCAACTGGTAATGACTCAGTTGAGTCAGAGCCGACTTGGAATCAATTCAAGTATGATAAATATAAAATTTAAAATTTCAACCAAGACAGCTTTTAATCGTGAATCGTCAATGCTTGAGAATGACCAAAAGTTAAGAATAGCCATTGTAAGTTGCTTCTACATTTTTATACAGAATAAAATTCAAATACATTTGTATATCTACACATTTTATCTTGTGAGTAAGTCGCATCGATTAAACTGAGAAGTACCAAATTTATCCGTTGATAACAGCGCCGCGTGACGTAACGAACGCCACTCGAGCCAGAGCCTGGGGCCAGCTGTATGACCTTGCGGTGTTTGTAAACATACACACGTTGTCTTGAGAGTGTCCAGAAGATTTGTAGCGATTTGCGCGAGTGGAATATTTTCGAAATCCAAAGAATTTGGTGCAGTACACAACGACAATGGAGGTGGAGCGTATGTGCATTGAGGACAATGAAATGGTGAGTGGTGAAATCAGAAAAATCGAGTGACAGCAGGTCCGCGTGACGCAAGTTGGCCGTAAAAAAAACAAGAACCTAGACTACAGACAATGACACCATTTTGCGAAACGAGCGCCGTCACTGGCACGCGATAACAGCAAAATCTCGCCGCGAACGTCATAACAAATATGGACATGTATCAGTACGTCCATAACGAACGAGTGTCAGTACTCGAGTCACAACGTTACTTGCATGGAGCAGGGAACCCGCTCGTGGGAGGTTTAGATTAAACCTTCCTGTAGGTCATGGCTCGGAGGGCGCCAGGGTGCTGGGTTACGGGCGGGGTTAGCAGTCGTAACGACGGCTGTCTCTTTTTATTCTCTTGAATTTCTAACGCGCAGACGCCCTCTATTAATCACCTGTTCTAAAAACATAACTTCGGACTTTCAGTGGCAGATGGCGCCGGCCATCAGCTTTATAGAACCGCGACCAGATGGCAGTAGTTCAAGTTCTGTTAGAAGAAGGAGAACCCAGGTTTCTTTTGTAAATCCAACGGACGCATGTCATGGACGTCGACGTGAAGCTGCCTGACGTTCATTTACTAAAATTTTCTAGTTAAATAAAGTACGAAGATGCAATATAAGTTTGAAAAACGTTAATTTCCACGATTCTACATTCTCACTACCGTTTATCTAGTTGACTCTGGGACCGCCGCGAGGCGCCGGGGTCGCGGTGTCTCGGTGCCGTGTCCCGTCCCGTCAGCGGTCCCTGCTCGCAAGCCTTTCGTCCGAACTGCGCAGTTGACAGAGCTCACGAGACGCGTAGCACCGGTGAGTTTTGTCCCTTTTCCACGCACTCGCCACTTGCGAGAGTCACGCGTTTCGACGTGATCCAGGAGTCCATAACCGCCGGTATCTCCTCCTGTACTCCATGCTCTCCGCACGCGCCTCCCATTCGGTCCTCTCATCTTCACCCACCAATCCTCCACATCCTTCCGCACCGTAACCCTCGCGTCTCCCTTTGACACCCTTTGCACTCGAAAAGTACTCCGTTTACGTTTTTCGATTGGCAACTTACGTAATCTGCTGTCAGTCACGCTTTTACGAAAAAATCGTCTCGATCGCTTCTTCGTTCCCTTCTTGATGAGCTAAGATAATCCGCTTTTTGCAAATTGACGTCTTTAAATTTACTCCGCGTTACTTTACGTTACACTTTTAATACCGTCGGAAGCCCTCTAAGTTTAACTACAGTTTAGCTCGTCTTTTACTAAGCAGGATCTGAGAGTTCAAGCTCTTTAACGAGTTCATCAACGACGTAGTGCAGTACAAGATGTTATGGCGCTTCGCAAAGTTCCGGTACCATCCCCAGTGGACCGGTAAAATACGTTAACTCGTACCTTGAGTACTTTTCAGGAGATAAAAAGAAAAAGAAATCCAGAGAAAGTGTTGTTCGTCAGCTGACAGATAGGACACGGCAGTAGGTAGTAAGGAATTTGTGATATTACTCGCTCAAACGATACAGTCAAAGTGGAGATGTCAGGATCATCGGATTGGACCAAAATATGGTTTGCAAAGGATTTCGTTATCGTATCTGTTATCACTGAAAAATACTTTTTGCGTTTTCTCAGTTGCCGTGTGAAGCTCTTGTGACACGTCTAACGTCCTTTTGATTTGTGACACGTCATATTTCTCCGTCGGTGGCGCCGGTAGACATCGAATGGCGTCGTTCTCACATCAGTTACCTCGTTTCTCCGCTCTTCTCACTGCTTGGCTAATGAATGGTTAAACGAGGTCGCGGGAACTTTGTCGAGGAACGCGTCAGTTTCATGCCGCATAACTCTTGTCATGTGTACCAGGAAAGTTAGGAACATTTGCCGACCCTTATTGCCACGTGACGTCGCGTCCACTTTGTTTTGATGCGATGTATCTCATAATTAAAATTATTCTAAAGATCTCTACGACTCGGCATTTCTTCTGGGACAATTGTTCCTGCCAAAATCTCTGTGAAAGAAGCCTGATTCTCTACTCGTCTTCAGGAAGAATCCTTATATCAGAGATATAAAGGATTCCGTAGGAATGGACTGTACCCGAAAAGGATATTCCAGTTGCCAATTAACAATTGCAAATTGGAACCCGTAGAAGCTGATACTTGAACACAGAGAATTGACTCAACGTTCTTACTCGCCATGGAACTTTCCGACAATGACACATTTGTGCGATGGCGTCGACCAAATTTATGCACTTTATCTCTGCGTAGCGTGTGCGGGTATTTCGTGGCAGAGCAGAAATGGGGCGGGAAAAGAAGAGGTGGCTGAGGCGTCTGTCCTCTTCCCACGGTACCAGCCACTATTGTTCGTGGATGTTCGCCCTCTCATTGTTAGGGAACATCGTGACGCTTGAAAATTATGAGGGAGAACCCTTTTCGGGTGGCCTCTTCGAGAGGAATAATGCTCACGTAAAATCCCGAGAATTTTTCTCAGCTTGCAAGAATACACAATTTCTTCATCCGTGTGAATTCTTTTTCTTCAGCTCAGGACACTTCGTGTGGGCTATATATATATATATATATATATATATATATATATATATATATATATATATATATATATATATATATATATATATATAGTTCTCGGACATTGTTAGCTGCGACCCAGCTTTAATCGAGCTGCATGTGCAGCATGCGTGCAGTGCGCGGACAGCGTAAAGATATCTGATGGAAACGGTGCAGGCCATCGCACATTATGAGAGAAGAGTGTTCATAAATGATAAGCCAGGTCGGAGACACCAGGAACTTCTACTTTGGTACTCTCTCACACTTCTCATTGTTACTGTTTTGTTTGATACGCAGGGATAGTTTGGCAGTGCGGAAGTTGAGGTGCAATTGGATATGGAAATTAAGTTACAAGAAAATCCTGAACGGTGTAAACAGGCATTAGAATTATTTGGAGCGATTTGAAATGTCAGGACGGTGACTTTATTTAAGAAAATATTTCATTGGTACGTTTACTTCCTTTGAATGGTTAAAACTTTTTAACTATAATCACTAAGTCGAATACCTTGTTAACCCTTTTACTGTCATGGATTCCAGAGCTATGGACTTTTAAATTATGTAGAGGGAAATTCAGGGTACAACTTCATTTTCATCATCAATGGAAATTATTCTCAAGACTATCAAGCGTAACGTACTTAAATGTATTAATTCTGTGCTATCAAGTCTCTCTTCTCATTTATCAAAATTTTCACTTAAGACGCTTAACCCACTTTCCTTCAATTTTAACATAGGAATTCTGTATGCTAGCGTCGCCATTCCATTAAGCCGGACAATTTTAATTGACCTATACATGGACCTTCCTACCACTTGGTTTCCTGCTAGTCACGAAGAACCTGGTGGGCACGGACTGAGAACTCTACTCTCGTATAATCTCAAGCAAGCTAACTCATTTCAAGTCGAGACAACATTCCAAACTTGGGCATCCACTGTAACAGTCTGGTCAGATTCTATAATGAATCTTCGCCATAACCGGACAGAGGTCTTCCCTCAGGAAATCGATTCGTTTTCCATGTCCACGTACGGGATCTCTATAGTGGAACGATCAGTGACGACCTACAAAGCCGTCGTGCGCGAAAGAAAGCCGCAAAGAAACCGGAAGAATTGTACGAACCAGCCAAGAAAGAGGATTTCAGGAGATTTAATATCAGATAGGATAGAAATGCCGACAGCGATGTAAACAGGGAGCATAGATACCCTGGGTGAGAGAAGAGGCAATGTGTATTTCGTCACCCGTGCGCATCCCGGGTGTACCTGAGGGACATGCATATAGATAACACTAGGTCACAATGAGGTAGAGTGACGACAAGATCTCTGGGGACGTTTAACCTTTAACGGCGTTTTCATTTCGAATGCCTCAATTATTTCTCCTCTTCTCTTTCGCTGATTAATAACAGGATCAGACCTCAATGGAAAGCATTGCGAGGTGTATAAATATTAAGACTCTTTCAGTCTTCGTTCCTTTATTTTTCTCTTATCAATTAACAAGCTAACTTTGTTTTTAACATTTTATTTTCCAGGAGGGATCCCGTGGTGACCGTAAAGAAGGGGGCAAGCGAGGACGCAAGCCCGGAAGGAAGGCGTCCGATAAGGCGGACATGAAAGCCAAGCTCGGTAATACTTTGCAATCCGTATTAGATGATTTCACTAGGATTTTCTAGTCTTGATCTAAATCCGTGACCATCAGGTTAACGTGAACATCTGTTTTTTTTTTCTAGACATATGTACATATATGTACCCTCGGTAGAATTTAAGGATCGCCATGGTATGAATACTCTGACAGTTTGGAAGGTTTCCTTAAAAAAAAAAAAAAAAAAAAAAAGTAAGAAGAAAGTAATCCACCAAGATTCTTATTTCTTTCTGTGAATAATCTTTTTACTTGCGAAAAAGTTTATAATCGCTGACTTCTTCTTGGCTCTGGCTCTCGTCCCTTTTTCCACTATACTTTCTTCGTATCTCGGTATACTAGTTACCTCAGGGTGTTCATCACGAACGTACTCTTCTTCGTCGACTAGTAAAATACTCTATGCGAGTTACAAAACTTTTCTTTTTGCAGATTTATGTTATTGCCATTCTGACAACTCGCGAAGGCCAAGGCAGCGGCAATGCCAAGCATACCGTAGGCCAACTTAGAAGAACGAAGTATAAGTTAAAGGACGCCTTGAATTTTACACGAGAAGTTTGCGACTTCTGACTCAGTAATCAGGAATATTTACGAGGGATTAATCTTCGTTTTGCCAAGGTCTCGTTTTTTTTTTATTGATGAGACCCTAATCAAAATTTGCTATCCAACCGTCATTTCCTTCTGCACTTTTTCGCGGCTTGCAAATCACTCCCGGTGCTCGAACGAGCTGCTGAACTTTACGTTCGCGTAAAACAACGCGTAGTCTAAGCGCGATAATAGGAAACCGATCGTAAAGTATTTTACTGCTTGAACGACGCAGTAAGAAATTTGCAATTTGAACATGCACTACAGAAATGCCAGTTAGGAATTCACGTGGAGCTTCCTGTATACTGTCGCAGTCTCCTGTCAAGAAGATTTTCCCGAAAGTGTCTTCAAGGATGCCATTAACATTCAGTCATACGTAAACAACTCGGAACAGTCGTATATTCTCATTTCCTTTTCTCTCGCTATCCCATGAAATTGAACGTTTAAGTAATACTTTTCTTCTTCGTTGCAGTTCTCACCACGTTTACTTTCTTCTTAATCCTCCTTTAATCCGTCACACCCATCCTGACACTCGGCATTCGCCACGCTCCTTTTCACCGTCTCCTATAGTGCGCTCGAAGATACGACGCAAATGGACACAAACAAATGTGATGTGAGCTCAGGGCAAAGGAAAAAGAAAAAAGAGTAAGAAGGAGAAGCTCCGACGATGGGAAAGAAGTGGCAAAGGGGATGATAAAGGAAACGGCGAAAGGGACACGAAGGAAGCCTGGCAGATCTACCAACGAAACGGCTAAATCAACGGATAACACGATGGATGGGCAAAACCGTGCCTGAGGGAACAATGATATATTCAGGCGATTGAAAAATATATGGAGTCTTATAGAGAGTGATCGTAGCCAATATACACGTAACTGATGTGCTGTCTGTCTAGGTTCGTTTTCGTTGGCTTTGGCCCAAGCGTTATCCTTATTCTTTTATTGTCAGTTATTTCATTTTTTGTCTTACACAATTCCTCCGTCCTTAGCTCGGTCACTGGCGTACATTAGTTCATTCCATATCCGGCCGAGGTGCTGATAGTTAAGGAATTTACGGCACTCAGTCCATGATTAGTTTAATTCGTTAACGGCGACCTTTTAAATATGCATACGAGTGGTGGAAAGTTTTAATTAGCGGAAACCTCCCAGACTTCAGTATTCGACTTCCTGTTTGATTCTATCGTGGTACCTAAGTATCCCAAGGCTGCTTTCTTAATTGCACTTATTGTCTTCTGTTTCAGAACGCAGTCGGCAGAGCGCGAGGGAGTGCCGTGCGCGAAAGAAATTACGCTATCAGTATCTGGAAGAGCTGGTGGCCGACAGGGAAAAGGCAGTGCTCGCACTTCGGAAGGAGCTCGATATGGTTTGTATGTCCCTTGGTCAACTAAGACTTGAAGCACCTTTGACCATTTTTATTGTCTTCAGATTCCTGTGTACTTCCGTTTTTCTCTTCCCTTTATCCATTTTGAGCGTCCAAGCCCTTTTCTTTCAATGAAGGTGAATGGAGTGGATTCTATGTAAGATCCATGTTGCGAATGAGAGACCCTTTTTGATATTTACGGATGAACGCCCTGACATGTCAGGGACACGCACTGGCACATCCATCGGCAGAAGTCAAGCAGTTTCAAGATGCGTCCGTTTCGTTTCTCTTTGGCCAAGATAAGCATTTACCCTTTCCTTTCCTTTCCTTTTTTCTCCCTTTATTCTCCTCTTGTCTTTCCAGTTTGAATGGCTGGTCAGAGTCCTCAATTTTTCTTCTAATTATCAGATTGAATGGTCTGTTCTCATGAGCAACTTGTTCTTTTCAGTATCGACAGTGGGGACTGGAATTGGACGCTGGTCATGTGCCCGAAGGACTTCAGACCATGCTGGAAGAGTTTGGCGCTCTTAAACAAGAAAAGAACAACAATTAGGGACTAGAAGGAACGGCCAAGAGCGTCTGGGCTTTCAAGCTGTTTGGATCGTTCGATATATTTTTTTATACAACCCACTTTTCCACATCACGTCACTGTCGAAACTTGTTCCTTGGTACCTTGCGATACTTGGAACTTGTTCAAAACTCTCTTGGAATGCTCTTGTAATTTCAAATCTTTCGATACTTCAAATACCGTATCACGAGCTTTTAATCTTATCTTGGAAATACCTTTTAAGTTGATCATCTCCAACTTTTACGCGGTGCAAGACTGTTTCTCGATAGAAAAATATCTAAGCGCACTTCGTTGACCAAGAGTTTTCTCCTTCTTCTCTTCTCTTACTTTCTTACTGTCACTCACGCTACCCTTCAAGTATTTTATAAAAAAAAAAATTATTCGTAATTTAATTCGTTGCAAATTTATATATAGTAGGTTACACCATCTGTATTTTGTTAATGCAATTCGTTAAGTTAAACTTATACGTTAATGTTTTGTCCGTTAGATTTGCATTAGTTCAAACTCAGTTGATTATCTCAAGATATGTATAAATAACAATCATTATTACATAAAAAGTGTATTTCTTGTTGCGAAGTTGAAGGGCCGGCTCGGCTATTGTAACATATGTGTGTATATATGCAGAATAAAATATTATCTACGCGGGAACGATATACTCTTTTGAAATCCAATAATAATTTCTATTAATTGGAAATGTAACGGTTATTTCAATCTGCGTTTAAAAAAAAATCTAAACAGATTAATCGGATCAGATTGATTTAATATTAATTAATAATTTTACGAATAACCTGTGAAACGTGAAAGCGTATTTTTTTTTTTTTTTTATAACGTTTCCACTGCAGGAGTTACGAATTGGCCGCTCGGTCGGATGGCAATACGAATTTACGTAGTTTAGTGTGAAATATGTTGGCTGGCCGCATCGCCCACTACCTCCCAGCTACAAACATTCCACGGTAGAATATCAATGTAAAATAATACTGGAAAACAGAGTTTCGAGGTAGAAAATGAGTATGTTACGTTTATTGTTTATTTATCAGAGTGGTACGTGTGTTTGACGAATATTATATGATTTGCGAATGTATATCACAAATACGTTAGTGATTGGCGTATCTGTAAATTAATTAAAATAATAATAAACCTAATATTGATTAGAAGTAACGATTGAAGTTTCGTAAAGAAAATAAAGAAACATGTAAATTATGACGATGGTTAGGTTAGGTTAGGTTAGGAAGAACCGAGTGTTTCGTTGTTGGGCCTAAATCCATAAAATAATGCGGCTGTCCATTAGCTTGGCAGATAATTTGTTTGCGTGGCGAAGTATTTCCTGACAATGAATTTCCTCGCAAATGATGATGAGAGGCCCGACCGACCGGTAGTCGACGTTCGATAGAGACCGCCGGTATGTATTATTATACTATCGACGTAAATTACGGGCCATAGCCCAAGAAACGTTTTATCGCCATAAACGTCCCGCCGAGTGTTATAAAAGTAGCAAACTGAAGAATATTGCGTGAAGCTACGTTGTTACCTTCGTTCGTCTCTTGCGCGTCCAATAACAATTCGCTATTTTCTGACTCGCAAAGCCTCCTATGAAAGTTTAATTCATTTTTGCTCACAGACATTGCATTCGTACCGGCTATAAGTAGATATTACGTATAGGCTTTTGCCGTCTCTTAGGAAAAGTACGGTCTAACGTAGGTATATGATTAATGGATGGATTGGACGGGTGGATGGCTAGGTAGATTGATCATGGCCACCGGATCGTTTTGTATGGCAGGCTCTCCTGCGTTGGTTCAAATAAAATCAAGCTTATTTCTATACGTATTTTTCTACCTCTGATTAATTTTTTATATTCGATTAGACGTCAAGAATTATTGATAAGCACGCGAAAATACATTGTAGTGACTGAAAAGAAACGTGGATTTGAGTCACGAGGTGCTTCACGAGGAAAATAATTTACTCTGTTTAGTGGTACAATATTGTCAACGTGTAATGAAGGTTTATAGGTTATGTTCTGCCTCATGTATGTATCTGAGCTGTAATCGACCTCGGCAGGCGTGGCAAGAAGGAAGTTGAGATATTGCTCGGAGTTTACGATTGCCTTAATCATAAAGCCTATCCCCTGCGCCCAAAACAGTGGGTTACAGAGTACGGGTCGCTGTTCGGGAGGCTACGGTAGGCAAGATATTTTGTTAAGGCCACTTGCGGAAGCCGATCATAACTGTAGTCGTAAGGTTTGGCGGTATTAGAGCAGAGTTACGGTTCCCCAAAGCAAATTTCGAGTAAACGCTGTATTAATTTACACTGTGCACGCCATGAGCTCTTTTAGTTACATTCCCGGTGACGGTGGCGCCAGTGTACGCTTGATATTTATGTAACTTAGGGAATACATATTAAGTCAAAAATAGATCATAGGCATTTAGAATCAAGTTGAAATTACATATCGAGCCTCAGTCTCTGTATAACATTAATTTTTCTGAAAATTCATAATTACTACCGTCTGGCAGTTCTAATTGTGATTTGTGATTAGGATGATAACTTTTAAGTTATTATTTGCCCGGGTTCTGCTGTCTCATCTTTCTTAATTTTATTCAAAGTTCATATTAACGGTTAAATTTATGGAGAAACTTTTACCAACTTACTTGATACCTATAGAGTTGTTGGGTTGGCAGCTTTAAGCTTCGGGTATACCAGATTAAGAAAGAATGGTCGAGAGATGGATTATTACACTAATGGCGTCTTAGTTTGTGTTGGGTCAAGGAAGTCAACGAGTTCACGAGTCTCGCTGAAGATACGAGCGAATGGAAGAGTAAGATGAATCTCTAGAGTTTTCTAAGAACGAGAGGCTCCAGTTTAATTTTCCTTCGGCTGCGTTGGCTATAGGAAAAACCTTGATAAGTCACATGAAAGAAGGTAATCAGCCATGTTGCATAGGCGTACGAACAAATTAAATGCGTTATAAGCAGAAGTGCCGCAACCGCGTATCCAAAGTTTTAACGAGCTCATTAGGATTTATTTGGGCAGCAACGAATTAGCAAATGGCGAGAAACTAATTACTAGTAGAAAGGTGGGTGGACGACCGAGGGGGTTCAAAAAATGTCGAACTTTTATTTTATAACGTAAAAGAAAATTTAAATATTTCACCCATTAATCAAAACTGACCGACAGTCCACTACAGTAAATCCTGACTGACCATACATTGTAAACGAACCCTTCCACTAAAGTCGACACTCGGAAACTCCATTACAGCAGCTAATCGGCTGTCTCAAATGATTTAATAAATTATTTCAGTTACTCTTGGGAGTCCTTCGCTAGTTGCATTATATATTTAAGATTCTCATAACGACAGTGTCTTCGACTTTTGGGATTTGCCTTTTCCTTGTCTGCCCACATGATTCAACAATCAGTCAGTCGCCTCTCTCATTGGTCGGTTAGCTGGTTTATTGGTTTGCCAGTTCAGTGGAGCAGTTCGATATAGCCAAACGTTCACAGCCTCCCGATGCGCTTGATTGCTGGAATTCACTTGGGGAATTTACAATGACGGCTGCAGTTTATTACTCGTCCATTGAAAACGAGCGTCGCATTCGGATTTTCATAGACGCGCGTAGGCGTCACCCTGAAAACAAACGAGGCCTTGGAACATGGATAAGACAAATGACGAGTACAACAATCAAAAATCCGAAAACGTATCTTGTATTTCTCACAATACTCTAATAACAAGTATCGAGCGTGACAATCGAAATTCGATTAATCGTACCTCAGTTGCACTTGCGAAAATTTGTCCCTCGGCCAAAACGCAGGAAAAGAGAACAATCGTTATATGCCCCGCAACGCAAAGGACCAAGGATATAAATTATCATCGTTCGACGATGACTAGTCGTGCACGATGAACAATGAGTAATGGTTCGTATGTTGTTTTTTTATCTTATCACTCTTTCTTAAATCTATGTCTATACTGTATCCTAGACTCTCTCCAAGACACACGCTACAATCGCTACACACTCAGTCAAGATGATCGGCGACTCGACGAGCGATCCAACCGACTGTTTTCTGTTTAAACAAAAGTGGATCCTTTGATACTTCTTCCAGAGTGGGAGACTCTGGGGAGAAAATGTCTCGTCTCTCAGGTACCTTTGTACGAATGGCACGTTACCACTTATACGTGAGTCTTGCGCATGCGCACGATATATGCAAACACTCTCGTCCAATCACGCACTCGCATACGCACTTAGAAAACCAGTTAGGTATCCTCGCTCGAACAAATTCCGAATTATTGACTAGATTGTTTGGTTCCGATTTCACGAGTACAGGTGAAAGTACAAATGAAATGTGAAAAAGAAATATTGCTAATTGTTATTTAAATGTACACGTTGGGTCTTGGTCATTTGAAATTGGACATTTCGCATTTGGAATACTGCTAATCGTGAGGCGACGGCAGGAAGGAAGGAAGGAAGGAAGGAATATTAAATGGATAGATAGACAGTCAGATAGGTGGATTAGATAGAGAAACAGGAATTGGATGAAATTTAAGGCGTGGAATCGACGCGCTTGATATTGTAGCGGCAATAATCACGGCCGATGATGTCTTCCTTAGGGATTTCCTCTTCTAAAGGTTCCATCCCTTCCTCGGTCATACGATCCCTTACCTGCGGAAAGAAAGAGGAATGGTTTTGCATATCGAAGGAGAAAGCTCGTACAAAATATATATAAATATCCTTCGTTCCACGAGGTATCTGCTTCCCATACTTTGGCACGTAGAAACATCAAGAGGCAATAACATTAAGAGTGTATGAAATTATTTTTTTTGAAATAACGAAAAAACGTATTTTCGAACGTCTTAGAAAAAATTAATTCAATAAAAAAAAATGTTATCGATACATCCATTTGGATGAGCAAGCCTGTCGGCATAACGTGTACTGAAGATATTATCAAGATACACCTTGAAGGTTTGATGCTCGAGGATCGCTTTTGGCAAGGGTGTCCTGTATATTTTATACAGTCGCCATATTAAATGCAAGTTCGAAGTTTTTTGGATATGTCAGAGGCGGGTTAAAAATGTGCGACCCTCTTTTTCTCAGGGCTATATGGGTACCATCAATTTTCGGAAAGCCCATTAAGCTCCAGTTGGCTTGAACCGAGATATGTGGAGGGGGGGAGGCTTCAATACCTAAAGCACCTGACGGACGTTCTCACGGTTTTTTCTCTACGCGAAGGTAACGCCGGGACCACAGCGACAGGAGCCACCATCGACAAACATGGCGGCCGAATTAACGAAATTTGTATGATTGTTTTTGTCCGCGGGCGTTTGAAGTGTCGGTAAAAAAAGAGAGCCATAGCCAGTAGAGTGAATTGTGCCACTTTAAAGAAAGTGACGCTCGCAACAGCGGGAGAACACATGACAAAGGGACAAACTGTGTTAGCGAAATAAAATATCGAATTGGACTGGCCTAAATTTCATTGGGGTCTGTGTGCCGCACAAAGCTCGGTTTTGAGGTTGGGCTTTCCAATTAAACGGGTAGAGTGCGCTGCCGTCGCTTCGCATATGAAACCCGTCGGGAGGAAATGAGCTGGCGAGCCGTGGACATATATAGAGTGGATTCGAGCTAACTCTAATCAAATCTCTGCTAGCATTGTCAGCACCGCGACGCTATAACCGAACGCGAATAGCGGCGTCGCTTCAGCCGAACGTTAATGATCACGTCGCCGAGAAGTTTCGTTAAATATTTGGATAACGCCCTCCCGCGATTGCATAACCTCAAAATCATTAATATCGTACTCTTTGCTTGGTCGTCACCCTCCTGGCATTCTTAGTCTTGGCTCTCAAAGTGACGGATCAGACAGTTGACGCCCGAGAGTTCTCGAGGTGCAGCTACTTTACCTACAACGGGAAACACTGAGAGTAAAGTGACTGCAGGTGATATACGTCCAAAAGGCACTTTACATATCACTTACAAATCGTTTGGTTTGTCACTTTTCGTGATTTCCAGCAGAGGAACGTAAAATGAATTTTTCGTTTTACTTAGCTTCTTTCTTTTTCTTCTAGAAACTGCGACGTTTCCACGTCTAATATCAGCCTTACGAAGTTCCCTTCGACTTTTACTGGCACGTCATGGTGTAACAGTGTTCCGTCGAGAGCAAGGACTTTTTCCACTAGCTTGTCGAGCAGCAAAATGAGATCCGGGAAAAGAAGATGGAGAACCCAGAGAAGTTTATACGTGCCTCCCCAGACGATTCACGGCTCAACGAAAACGTTATAATAAGGTCACTCGTGTGCTAGATCTGCGAATAGGACTCTGGAGGCTGCCTTATACGAATCCTGGAGGGAAGTTTGCTGGTCGAGAATTCGTTATACTTCCTGGGGGCACCTCCGAGGTAAATGGATCACTGGACAAAGCAGTATAACCAGGAACATACGGTATAGCTCGCACGCGTTTCATCCAAGAGTATGGCAAGGACCCGAGGTAGTAGCTACATATACGTGGAGTACCAAAAGCACGAGAGCACGAACGCGAGAATGTGCATTCGATGTGAATTCAATGTGGATTTGAAGCATATATATCTATAAGCATACAAAGTGAAAGAGAGAGAGAGAGAGAGAGAGAGATAGAGGGTCCAGTCAGGATGAAGAGAGATTCTCAATTGGTAGGTAGGTAGGTAGTAGCTGTACCAACAGCAGCAGCTGTGTCTGGGATTGGCAGGACTCCAACCGAACAAAAATTGCAGGGATCCAACCCAGATACATGATTTGTGTGCTTTATTAAATCCGATATCGTCCATAGTTGGTTAACCTGGCAGCATGGTGGCCAAGGTATTGGATATTCCTGGAGAGCCATTCAAAATAAATTTTGATTGTGTTGTACCGTGGTAGAAGGACAAAAAAAAAGGTGCAAGAAAAAAACTTAAATTGATTCCTGATACGTAACAGGTTCCACTTCACTCACCTCTTCAACGGCCTTGAAGACTCGTATGAGGTTCAGTCCTGCCAACTTCCGGATGTCCTTCTCCGACCAACCCCTCGCCAGCAATTCGGCAAACAACTCGGGATACTTGCTCACGTCCTCCAGTCCTGCAGGAGTTCTGTAACATGGAAGACGAGACTTTTGGGTTAACTCAACTTTCCAGCAATGTCTACACCTGCGTTACTGTCCTCTTTCCCTCTAACTGAACTTATATCATCCTGGTGGGGTCCTTCGTTCTCCATCACTTGCACACTTTTACGTCCGTCCATCGTTTCCCACTCTACCCGGCGAAGCGACTACGGAGTATAAATTCCTCGTGTATTATTATACTTTCAAATGCGAGGCCGAAGAGGAAGAAGGGAGACCAGGCACACAGATGCAAATACGGGACCAGCAGCCACCACCAGCCGCTATATATCCATATAGCTAGCGTGCCCTCTTTGAATCGCGTCCCAAACGATTTCCAATCGGGGTCGCAGATAACGTCCTTTGTCTCTCTCTCTCTCTCTCTCTCTCTCTCTCTCTCTCTCTCTCTGCAGTCCCCCTCGTCCCATAACCTCTCTTCCACTCTAGTCGGCAGAATTGTTCGCCGATAAATCTGTCACAGAAGTTCTGTCCACGTGGATGTTATTAGACGGAGGCAAGAAACTGGAGGACTCGGCACTCTGAATTTCTTTCTGGGGCCAGCATAGATAGAGGGGCGACGAAGGTTGAAACGTCCTGGAGAGGTCAATGACCTTTGACGTGGTTCAAAGAAATTTATTAACGTAATAATGGTATATGCCTCGGCCACGCTCGATCCGCGCGTTCGGTAACGAATAGTATAAAGTTATCCCGTTACCCCTGACCGCACTACCCTTCTTCCGTTCCATGGTCTCGGACTGCTCGGCTTCGAGTAATTGAGGAAGAGGTTGGAGCAGCGTAGGGTTAACGGCTTGAAGTCATCAGCCCTGCACGGCCCCTTCGGCCCTAATTGATCCGATATATCGTGAATCCTGAGGATCCGCGTCGGGCACTCCAGTTAAACCTTTCATTATACTACGTAGGGACGAGATCTGCGATCGAACTTGGTAATTAAATGAACTAGAGGGTTGCCGGGGGTTCGGGGCTTTTAAAGTTCACTGTGTCCCAATCCCTTGTCAAACGAACTTTTACCGTTTTTCAGTAAGGACAGTCTCGTATCCTCTATAGCGGGAAGAACCAAGATAGCCGGACAGATGGCGCCATCGTCGTTCTCGTCTTATCCACGAGCGCGGTGCATCTCGGGAAAATCGTTGAAACTACCTATTCCGATCGTAGTTACATTTAACTATTAGACGCAGCAAAGTGGGTCATGTGAAAATAGGCAAGAGTCGAGCTGGAGTAAGGCCAGTTAGAAAGTAGAATCGCGTACACGGCCAATAAGCTTTTACGCGAGATTAAAATTCATACGAACGTACGGTAAGGGCAGCCATTACGTGGCTAAATGTACCACTGACGGCTCACTTACGGTAAGCGCAGTCGGCATGCCTGCCACGCTCTGAAACTTTAATGTAATAATTACCATTAATTGCGTCGACGCTACCGACCTCGACTTCGGTCCTGGACTCTACATTCTTACAAGTCATTTCGCCTTAGGAGGGTAGGTAAAAGCCTCTTGGAAAATGTGCGCCAGTCAGACGTCACTGCGGACCGAAAATCCTTCTTTCTTCAGCCTCCGACCCCCCTGGCCCCCACTCATACTAGATTTCTATTTCTCTCGACTCCAGACCTTTGTTCTCGCAATATCTGGGCCTTGTTCTTCTCATTCTTATCTTCCGGCTAGACGTCGACCTGGCGTCGTTCGTACGTCGAGGATAAGACGTCGGATTGGGAGCAGAGTCCTCTTCTTGATTTGTAGCGAAGACAAAGAGAAGGTTAGGGTTCGTTTACTCGTTGGAAACGATAACAATAAGTGTGTTTTCAATCCAGAGGAAGTTGGACGTGAAAGAGTAGGCTGGACGAGGAGGAAGGAGGTGTGGGGCGTGGATGTTGAAAATCAAAAAAAGTAAAACAACACGTGGATACGTCGCCGCTTCCGCTTGAATCCTAGCTGGGAATAAGAAATGATACACGGAAATCTCAAGCTCGAAGTGAAATTTAATCTAGCCTGCGAGATTAGTTTCTCCTTCTACCCAAGAGATCTCCGAGTCTCGATAGAGTTTTCAAGTTTCTTGGCGGTCGGGCGGTATGTCTTTTTTATTATTATTTTTTACATAGAGGGCGACCATAATAATTCCCGCCTGTGCCTGGAAGGCTTTTGCTTTGTTCTGCGTGTGGAGTCTCGCGTGTCCTCGGTTGTCACAGCCCTCCGTCTCTTTCTTCTATGTCACTCGCTCGTGTGCCGTCGCATCTGCTCTTCCGGTTTCGAATGACCTCGCAACCCTCGGTTTTCACCTGTCTCCATCCTCCTTACTCTCATTTGGATTTTATCAAGTTTTCCTAATTTCTTCTTTTTTTCCTTTCTCCTTCCGTTCTCGTACTCTTCGTTCGAGCCTAATTATCTGAGTTTAACTGTTCTGTCGAGTCTGTCTGTCTTTCTCTCTCTCACTCTGTCTCTCAGTCGTTCTCTCTGGCACCCATTTTACATTCACTCTCTTCAACTCTCGACCGACACTTTTTTCACACTATTCAAGAGCTCTTCAACTTTTTTTCACGGTTTATTTTTTTAATAGGTAGTACCGCGAATCATGTTGGCAGTATACACGATGGTGTGGACTGAGTACGACGGCAGAACATACCGACGAAGCGACACTGTTCAAGGGATGGTGGGGTCAAAGGGTAAAAAGGAATGGTGGAACGATGGGAGGTCGTGAGGATGGAAGGGTGACGGTGGCTGACGGAGGTTTGTTTATTTAATACCTCGGGAGAGAGGGCCACCACCCCTCTTACGCCCTGGCGAGAAAGCTTCATGTTTGCACGCGCATAAAAACGAATTGTTTCCCTCAGACAAATAAAATGGCTTTTAGTGAAAAATGATACAATTTTGTTTGGTACCAACCGAGTGTAGACCGTGACACTTTGGAACCAGCTGTTATCGAGACGCGGTATTACCCGAAGGGGTAGAACCGTGCGCCCCTTTAAGCAGAGATTTGGTTGTTGAAGTTCGTACCTGACAGTTGGCAATTGGCAGCTGGTAGGACAGTTATTAAACGACTCTTTCAATTTCACCGGTAGCCGTTCCCTATTGACGTGAAAAAGAAATTATTTTATTCACTTGGACCCTCGGATTTTCACGATTTTATCGATTACCCGCATAAAATGTCCCTTCGGTTTTTTTCTCTTTCTTTTGCTTTCTTTTTTTTTTCCTTATCTTCCATCCAAACTTTCAAAGCTTGACTGACAATGCGGGAAAAGGAAAGTATTTTCAAATCAGAATTCGTTTCGAAACCCCTGCCCTCCCACCCGTGGTCGATCGTATCCCCTGTGCCATTCGAACGTGCTTTCGATTCAAGCACGCACTCTTCCAAGCAGACATAAATACGAAAATCGTAGGAAATTCATTGAGTTTCCGGTCACGTGAGATTGGGGGCCATAGTAAAACGGTAGAGACCGAAGGTAAAGGAGATAGTAAAAAGGAAAGAGGAAAACAAGCAAACCGCAACGTCCATTGTGTTATATATAATACAGGGTGTATGTCTTTAGTGCAATCAAGAGTTCTCTCGGATATAAAAGATAAATAAGAATTGGAATTGAGTAATGAGATAACAAAGGAAAAAAATGCCAATCTGCACTAAAGTTACAACCGCTTGACAAACAGTGACGAAACGTAACTACCAATCTTTTTTTTCAGTTTTAATTTATCTCTTAAGCTCGTTTGCCTATTTTGGATCATTTACCCATTTGCTCTTTGAGTTATTTAGCAGAGGTTTGGGTTTGCTGATTTTCTGATCGATTGGTCCTTCCGGGGTGGGGGCACTCTCTCTCTCTCTCTCTCTCTCTCTCTCTCTCTCTCGAGGAATTTCAGACCCGTAGCTCTTAATTTATTGCCTCTGTAGATTCTGCCGCCTGATAACACTGCTCCGGGGTCTTCGTGCACATTCACTGCGGCTCACTGCGGCCTACTATTATACGAGGGATCAGCAAAGTCAAATGAGCAAACAAAATTACTTACAAATTGATTCCATCGTAGCCAGCTCCGATTCCGACGTGATCCACTCCAGCTATTTTTCGTATATGGTTGATATGCGCTGTGAATCAAAGAGAGAGAAAAAAGAAATTAACAATAATTGGACACTCATTGAAATCTGCTGTTTGAGTATTCCAGCCAGTTTTCCTTCCTTTCCAATAGAGAAATATTGTCCTCCGACAGGGCAGGTCAGCCAACGGGAACTCCAATCGATATTTCCCTAGTGCAACGATTGCCGGATATCGTCCACGCGTTTACTACTTCTCCCCTTCCGTCGCCTCCCTTCCGTCCTCATCATAACCATCGTAACGGATCGTAATATCAGGAAGCTCACGCACCACCTATTTGCAAATCAATCACTACGGCAATCTTGGTAATCGATGTACGAGCGGATAATTTTGAATTTCGAAGGAAAGTTAAAAAATTGAAATTTCTCATTGAAATCTTTGTCATTTCTTCGAAGCTAAATGACTAATCCCACAGACTGAAGTTCAGAAGAATCCGGCTCACCGGCGACATCCTGTAGGGTCGATTTTTCTCCACAGCTGATGAAGTGTGGATAGAAAGAGACCATGACTATTCCTCCAGTCTGCGCCTGAGAATGAAGAAGCAAAGAAATATTAGGACTAAAAATCATTTGTTTTCTTAAATTATAAAATCATCACTAAATCCACTTACAAGGAGTCGTAGCGCATGGTCAGGCACATTGCGCGAGGAATTGCACAAAGCGTGAGCGCTACTGTGGCTGAAGATGACAGGCGCCCTGGAAGCTTCCATCGCGTCCAGCATCGTTGGCACCGAGACATGCGAGAGATCCACCATCATGCCCAATCTATTCATCTCCAATACGATATTCTGCAAGATAAATATTTAAGTCACGAAGTGATCACAAAGTGGAATTAAAAGAAACGAGGTCAGTCCGAGCAGGATCGCAATATACTAATTATAACAATTTAAATAATTAACATCATTAGACGCAGACGAACTCGTACGATTTAGACACATGTCTCAGGCACAGCTCAGACCGCAGAGCCCAGACTTGGAATATCGGACCCACGTTACCCCAGTGACACTTATTGCTCAAGCTGTCTTGTTAGTTTCCCCGACACGGAGCAGCCAGCAGAGCGGTTATACCGGTGTCTCAGACTTCCGGGACTAACCTAACCTAACCATTGCATCCTCAACAGTACCCAAAAGATCCTTAGGACTCCGTTTGGATCCTTGCGCACCCTGAATATTATAGCGATTATAGTATTACACGAACGCTATGTAAACCAGCTCCATCTACCTTAGTTACCCTTGGTCCAGGTTGATGCTGTGCTCAAAGTGGCCCGTGTATCCTCGGAGAAATTAATTTTCAAGAGTCTAACAAGCCTCTTCCAGTTTAAACTTGAACCCTCTGAAGTAGTTCAGTATCGTTGATCCAATTCTCAGTTTCTTTGAATTTATACACTCTGTACTACAGTATCCCTATCTTATCTTCGGTCCACTAGTATCTTCTCTTAGAGTGAGTCTGGCTGTGAACTCTGGTCCGAGGTCATCCGACTGACTAGTCCTGTCCGCCCCTCTTCCGAAATGGCGCCTCTGGCTGCAGGCTCTCGAAACAAGTTTAGTTTCAAAACTACTTCCCTTTCTACCTAATTAGAGGAAAGTTCGGAGAAAGGGCCGCCAGGTGGTTTCAAAGGGGATTCCCGCCACTTCCGGTCAACGTGCACACGCTCTCATTTTTTCTTTTTTCTTTCTTTTTTTCTTTTATCTCCTTTTATGTCTTCGCGGCTATGTTCGGCAAGGCTTTCAATAAGAGGGGAGAAGACTTCCTGGTACTGGGAAATCTCGTGCCTCGTTGCTGCTCGCTAAAAGCTGCCAAAGTAATTAGCCAAAACTAGCGGACTGACTGAGTACGCTTTTAGCGCAGGTCGCTAATCCGCGGATAGCGGAGTACTTCCGTGAGAGCAAAAGGGAAGCTCGTACGTGGCAGCGGCTGCCGTTGCAAATCTGAAAGTCATGGAACCGCGAAATCGAAAAATCAAGATGATACCAGCGGACTGGTTTGAATCTGGACAAAATTGCCACGCGCAAATAGTACAGGAGCCTTATCAAAGCCTCAATCTCTAACGTTATCGGATAGATTGTAAAATAATACGACTATCCATACGAATCTCCAATAACCTATAACCTACGATACTGCAACGCATAAACGTCCCGGATGCTTCGACAAGCTTTCACGTTAACGAGATTATTTATCATCTATCCTGCTGGAATAAATGCCAGAGAGAAATGTCCGATAATACAAAATAAAAAAAAAGAAACTCGTTCATCGTCAAAAGTCCGGGAAGAAATTACAACCAAGCATTCACTGAATATTCTTTCGAATAATTTTCATACCTTTACTTTTTCCCCTTTTACAGGTATTCACTTTTATTGCCTGTCATTAAAAAAAAAAAAAAAAAAACCCTAACGACTTATCACGACGATAAAAAAAATTGTACTCTATTTTTATTTGAAATCTAGTAAGGCCAACCTAACCTACAAATTCACATATGTGATAAGTACTCACGAGGACTAAGGGATGACATTCATGAGATGACAGGGACGCCTGCATAAACTACAAGATCCATATGTACAGCATATAGAATAAAAAAGACAGACACCCCCATATGGAGCTATGGCGGACAATGATATTTTCGGATATATATATATAGTAGGTCAGTGGGTCCACAGAAAAGAAATAGACAGTCTATTAAATATCTGGAAAAGGGGTAAATTCGCGTTTCGTAATACCCATGAGCGACGCGGCGTGAAACACAAAGTGAATGGACGTGCTTGTTGGGAAGCTTTCAAGGAAAGTTTCGAGGAGAATTTCCGGTTGGTACCCACCAAATTCTTAAATATATATATATATATATTGAATACAATAAAATTTAACGTATTACGTAAGGTTAGCCCAGATCTAGTTTAACTCCCTATAATAATCTCGAGTACGAAATTTCTTTTTAATGAAAAAAAATGTGCCAGATGTAAGATTCCGTAAATGGCAGCGGATGGAAGTGAAACGTGAAGAAAATTTATGGAGCAAATGCTGATAGGAAAATTAAAGTGTAAGATGGGTAACAGTGGCACTGAGGTACTCGGGTGTACTGCCATAGTAAGACAGTAGGGGAGGTAACTATAATAGAATAATAGTAGAACAGTAGAATGGATGGGTATAAGTAGAAGGAAGGAAATTCTCTATGGTGTAGTCTAATTAAATGAGAACTCGATTGCCTGACTTTGTTCCGTATTTCATTAGAAACTCAGTGTTATTAGTGAGTGTAAGTATCGCCTATGCGAGTAGCGAGGATAATTGATTAAACAATAATTAATTACAAGGCGTAACGTAGTAACGTAATAATAATTTAAGTCGAGAATATTAAACGAAAGAGTTTGGAAATCTATGGAATACGTAATACGAACGTTGGGAATACCATCCCTTCGTTCTGCGTTAAGAGAGGAAGCGGTCACGTCGAGCTGTACATATTGGAAATATCGGAAAACTGTGAAATGGAATTCTCTTAGGCATTCCTCCCGGCGGCAACGCGTCGATACCATCTGCAGAACGTAAACATGCTTCTACCGATAAGTTAAGCGGTGTTTAGTCTTTGAGATTAGTGGACCCGAATCCAAGGATATTCGTTTCTCTTATCAGCTACCGATCCGAATGAGATCTTACGCCTTGCCTTATCGCGCCATTAGGGATATTCGCCACAGACGCTCAAATTCACGCGAGTCCGTTTTAAGGACCTCGAGAGGCATTAAGGGACGCCATGAAAATAACTACCAGTAGGAAAGGACAAGTAGACTTGGTTGTAATGAGATAAAATGAAAAATGGATATTGCAAAGGGCCAGACGCAGAGGCCATTGTTTGAAATTACTTTTTTTCAGGTTGTTCTAGAACAAATTTCGAACACACGGCGATGTGGTTTTTCATAGTTTCGTTCGCCCTTCGAGCTTGCAGGCCGCTCGGAACGTAGTACGTGAATTTGCTGCAGTATCGTATCGCTTCGATTAATCGCCAGGAGCGATATATCATGTTTCCGAATGGACGTAAAAGAAACAAAAATTGAACTTGAAATTGAGATAGCGTGATATCAACGAATTGGTATAGATCGACCTGTACAGGTTTCATAAGGGCAGATACATCCTGTCAGATAAAGAAGGTCATCCTTCGTAGATATCCCGTATTCCGGGGAAGTAGGCAAAATGGGGCCAACTGTCTGACCCGTCGACCAAAAACTAACTAAATTCGATCCGACGTGCAAACACGCCCTAAAGGACTAGGGAATAGAGTGCTTGCTGTGCTGTCTGTGCTTCCTCTATCCGCTCACGCGTAACGGACAATCTCTTTGCTCTCTGCCTCGACGAATGATCCATTGCTCCTTTCCTGGGCTGTCACAAGCGACCTAACAAAAACGTCCTTCCGCCCTATACGTGCTCGGCCCCCGGCTCGGCAGCAGTAGGTCGAACGCTGTCTAAATAGGTAACCCCGTCCACTGGCCAATCTGATTCGCATTTGTGTCCGGCAATCAGTGGGTCCCAGGAACTTGGAATCTTTTTTGGCCCGGATCGAGATAACGTGACAGACAGACTGACGGAGTTCGACCTGCGTCCAAGGATCGACTAAAAGAATGAGATCAAACAAAAAGTGACTAATGGCTAATGAAATTGTGAAATGATTAAACTTTTTAAAATGATCACCTCAGCGGTGGACTCACCTTGCCGAAGTTAGAGAGGCCGCCTATGTGAGGCACTTGACCAGGTTCATCCGCTGTGCTGCAGTCTGCCCTACCGAACCAACACGTAAGTAACTCTATAGCGAGAATCCTCAGTATTATTGCACCCTCTCTTTTAGCTCTATCAGCGGCTCTAGCCGTTGCTGCAACGTTGCGGCCTCGCGGCCCTCTAATGGCAGGGTATGGTCAAGCAGTTACGATTATGGTAACGGAAATGGCAATGAAACTGCAACGAAGCGGCGGCCGCAGCCGTGTAACGATAACGATAACGGCAATAACGTTATTTAGGTGAGTACCAAGTGCTGACAGAGCGAAGTGCTCTATAAATTGTAGCTATCATGAAGTATTTCCACTTTTGTTATTGGCAGTGATCAATGATCATTGCGATACGCCATTGTTATGACTCTGAACGACCAAGACATCCGTCTTGGATGATCATCTTCGTCTGTCTCTTATCGCCTAGTCTGTTTGATAGTCACTCTGGAAAGTGGATGTCACATCCTGAATAGTCCCAGGGTCGCACACTGATCCTTGGAATATTGGAATCCATAAGTTAACAAACTTTGAGTAGTATCCATGTTGAACTGTGTGTTCTTCTCGACCTGTCGACATAACCTTCGCCACTCATTCTCAATTCTCCTCCAGCACCAGCAGGGGCTGCTCCTCCTATGGGAGTTCAACGACTCGACCTCGCTCGATACCTTTTGTATTCGCGTCATTCGTTTAAAGTTTTAAGGGTCGTTGCGGCGCTGGTTTACAATTGTAAATTAATTATTTCAATCATTACAGCAAAGCCACAGATCCTTTTCATCATTTATATAATTCATCGATAGCAATCGCAGGATCGATCCTTGGTCGTCAGTAAAAATTTCATAGATCAGCCCTGGAGGGCGAACCCTTCGACCGTCCTGGATACCCACCTGACGATAGCAGGGATAAAGGGATAAAGGGATGAAAGGATAAAGGAAGGATAAGGCTACGTAAGAAACGATTAGTCTGGATGCCGATCAGAAAAGTATTCCGGCAATTAAATAAACAATAATCTAAAGGAAACTACTGCACGACGGTTACGCCTTGCCTTTGGCTTTGTAGTCCTGCCAGAAATGCTTGGAGGGGCTGGATTACTTGGATTAGCTGGATCAGTTGGATTAGATACTCACCAAGGCGTGTTACATGTGTGCGTCAGAGTGAGATATCTCGCTCCCAATTCGTAAAGCATCCTCAGGACAGCCAGACTCGCACCTACGGCGTGTCCTCCTTCTACGCCTATCAGACTGGCTAGTCTACCGTCCTTATGTGCACGTTCAATGCCTGCAACAAGATTACGAAAAGAAATTAATATTTAACGTTTCAGTGTGTATATTGATTATACGAAGTTTCATGACCTTTGAACTGGACTGTATGAATTTATCAAATGCTCCCTTGGCTGGCTTATGTACCCAATCATTTACCGTGAACTGCTTTAATTTTTCCAATAATCGACCTATCGATAGCTATCGGTATTAACGCTAATAGCTTCAACGCTTGAAAATGGCGAGAGACCTCTCACACGTTTCATTCTCGTAGCACGTGCTCGTCGATGGAGTTTACCCACATTTTTTTTTTTTTTTTTTGTGAACTGTAGTACCTGAAGTGCCTGCAGGAGTTGTATCTTTTTATTTCTCCTTTTTTTCTATTGCTCTCTTTACCATCCTCTTATCCATTTTTCTTTGCACTACAGAATGCTTTGAGGCAAATACGTTCCACGGCTCCGTTCCCTGACCATTCCATCTTGCGCTCTCTTGATGCTGCATTAAATCAGACATTGCAAATCGTTCCAGACTCGTACTAACATAACCTATATAACAGACCCTTGGATTTTTATCAAGTAAACACTTCATCGTCTTCGACGAACGATTCGTCGTTTCCGGACTTGAAGTGCACTTTAAATTTTTTAAAGGAATCTCCCCGCCGGTCCTTTCTGGTAGCTGATGAGGAGCCGGTAGAATCTTGGCTGAAGGAGTAAAGGAGTAAAGAGAGAATCGAGTAGCTGCACC